CCTGCCACGTGAGGGAGGAGGGCCCCCCTCCCAGTCCGGCCGCCTCCGGCTCAGGCAAAGGCCCCGCCTCGGAGCCCGGAGCCGGGAGCAGGCGGCTGGGAGGGCGGGCTGGGCTGCAGACACCTGCCCCACGCGTGCTTTCTGACACGTTTACCCACAGATGGGAGATCCGCCGACGGCGACCGGCCCCGGGGACCCCCCGGGACTCCGGGGGCCGGAACCCCCAGTCCTCCCTGTGGCAGAGCCGGCTCCGGGAGGGGGTGACTCCCAACTCGCCAGACCGGACGGTCAGCAGCGTGTGGCAGGCGGCCGGTGGATGGGAGGGGGCTGCTCTGCAATCACAGGGAAGGGACGGGCGGAGCGTGGAGGCAGGACCGGGAGTCGAGGCCGGGGGGAGCCGGGGCCGCGGGCGGCCGAGGCAGGCGGACCCAGCGCCCCGGGTGCGGGTGGCGGCTTACCTTCTAGATGCTTCATAACTAGAACAGAAATGCCTTCATGCGAACGTGTGCTTTCCTTTTATTTCTTTTTCTTTTTTTATTGGTGTCAGAGAGGAAGGGAGAGGCAGAGAGAGAGAGACATCCATGGTGAGAGAGAATCCTGGGTGGGCTGCCTCCTGCACGCCCCATCCTGCGGATGATCGAGCCTGCAATCCAGGCAAGTGCTCTGACCTGGGACTCGAACTGTGACCTCCTGGTTCATAGGTCAGCGCTCACCCACTGAGCCACCCCAGCCAGGCTGCACTTTGTTTTCCTAAACCTAGAGGCCAGAGGGGTTCGCCTGGCTCCCTTAGACTCCGTAAGCACTAAGGGGACGGGTGTCCTTCTCCCTGAGACTGGCCCTGGCCCTATAAAGGGGGAAAAAGCTCAGGGAGCCCCAGAGCCAGAAGCCCGGCCTCTGCCATGACAGGCCTTCTCAGGAGGCATCATGTTAGGGGCCCGAAGCTGGCGGAGCAATCGGAAGACCAGGCAGTTCTCCAATCGATGAGTCCGCATCCCTTCTGTTTGCATCTCTCTGACAAATGAACCTAGACCGAAGGTGGGTTCGGGAAGAGAGGAAAGGTCTAGACATTTTGGGGAATCGAAATTTTCGGAAGACCAAATCGCTGCTGCCCATCGCCCCCCTCTTGGGGGGCAGACGCTCAATGGTTGGGGGCAGCTCCTGCGATAAGTGTCTGCCCCCTGGAGGCCAGTGTGCGTCATAGCGACAGGTGATTCGGCTGATGGTTCCACCGTTGAGTCTATGTGCATATTAGGGTTTTATTACACAGGATGGTTCAATGCCCTTCGTCGCCAAAGTCATTTCAGAACACAAGCGCATACAGTAGGCAAAATCATTGCTGGAGAACACTGATTTCATGACACACTCCACTTTGTGAGACAAAAGCAACATGGCAGAGTATCCATTCCTTCTGAGCGGTTGACTCGAAGTTAAAAATAAGTTGGGAAGGTGTTGTAGTGTGCCTGAATCTCACAGAGGACACCTCAAAAAGTCCAAGTATGGAGTCATTTACTCAAAGGCCGGCGGCTACGCGGGGAACAGCGCTCAGATCTCGCAGCTCCGAGGCTCACCACACCTGGCTTATGTGCAGCATACCTCAAAGGGATCGATTCCATCTCGGGGTTTGGAACGAGGAAGCTGGTTTGCACAGAGCAGTGACAGGAGCGAAACTGAGCAAGTTAGTTATCTACAAAGATTAAGTGTAGTGTTGGGTCTTGGGACCACTGAGTCAACGAAAACACATTACCTGGAGCCATGGGGCAATCTAGAAAAAGTGTGGTGTCCAGATTCCAGGACCACTGAGTCACCCAGGGTGCGTTACCTGCAGTCATTGAGGCAATTTAGGGTAATTGCGCTGTCCTGGTCCCCAGGTGCAGAAGAATGTGCCCTGATAACCAGTGAGATCACCGTCAATGGGATATTCAAACCACCACCCATGGAGTATTCCGTCGATGGGGCAGCATATGTAAGTTCAGAAAATCAAAGTAACATTTCTATTGTTTTAGCAAGCACATGAGTACAGAACCCCAAACAGCAGGGTCACTGTGAAAGCTAAAACTGCCGTTTCTGTGAGATGAGGGCCGTCATCCTTCAGAGGGACATTTTGACGGCGGCGGCTTCAGTGACCACAGACCCGCTAGGAGGGGAGAGCCGAGGGGACGAGAACGCGGGCAGACATTTTATACTCGCGAGCGCGGCTCAGTGCTCGTGGGATTTGGCCCACGTGAGTAACTCATTAGAACGTGGTTGTATGTCAGAATCCCTCTTCTACTGGCTATTTCTAACACTAATATTACTAACATGCTTTAAAGCATCTTAGATATTATTAATGTCATGCTTGTAATCAGTTCTCCTGTGAGGCTGGGCAGTGACCTTGGGGAGTTAGTTTACTGGTTATTACAATAGAGACCCGGTGCTCAGATTCGTGTGTGTGTGTGTGTGTGTGTGTAATCCTTCAAGTTAAGCAGATTTCTCAAGCTCACAGCTATCCAGTGGAAAAGTCAGGGCTTAAATGCAGGCCTTTTGACTTTCTCCTGGATTGTCCTTTCGACTTTAACATTTAACAAAAGACCTCATTCCGTGCTTTCCTTTGTTCAAACATTCATTTTCCAATTACAGGGGACATACGATGTCCTGTTAGTTCCGGGTGTACAACACACTGATTAAACATTTATATACCTTCTGAAGTGATCACCCCGGTAGGTATATTTCTTTAAAAAACATTTTCATTGACTTTAGAGAGAGAGAAATATCCACAAGGAGAGAGAATCATGGATTGGCTGGCTCCTGCACGCCCCACACTGGGAATCGAGCCCACCACCCGGGGACCTGACCGGACCAGGAGCAGAACCGTGACCTCCTGGTTCATAGGTCGACGCTCAGCCACCGAGCCACGCTGGACAGGCCCGCTAGTGCTAGTCTGTCACCCTTTCCTTTCTCTGTCTTGTCTGTGTTTCTTCTTTGGATGAAAAACATCCTTCGGTCTTTATAGAACCCCATCCAGTTCCTTGAATGTACCAAGTGCTTACGTTTGCTTTTAAAGAACTCGGCCTGTGAGAGTCACTTTTGCGGGGCGGATGCCTCTGAAGTGGCACAGGAGGCAGTCTGTGTAATTAGCTCCATTCTTTCTCGCTCCGTCACAGTGTAAGGCGTCTGATCTAGTCAGCAGATACTAGACTGACGGCCTGCCTCGCGATTACGCCATCGCCCCTGAGCGATTACCCTAAAATATGGGCCTCCATTTCCTCACCGAAAACGCGACACGTGTTTTTAATGTGAGAAAAGCATTTCCGATTTCAGAATCACATGGTATTTCTTGGGTGGTGATTGAGAGAGTTTTAAGTCTCACCACGCTCGGTTCTGAGCTCTCTTTTGAGTTATGGTTTATGAAACATAATTTATGCCTTGATTATGCTCCAATGGTAACGCCAACCACAACTCCGACCGCCGGAGCACGAGGCTCTGGTTTGCGGATTTGCCTTCTGCCCTTCACCCAGCGAGGGCCCATCCGAGGCGTTAAGTTAAGCAACAGATCAGAGACGGAGAGGCAGGGGGAGGCTGAGCCGATCCATTCACGGCCTCCTCTGCAGAGGGATGACCGGGCCCAGAGGTGCGGGGCTGGGGCTCCCGTATGCTCCCCTGTGCTGGCCCCCCCAGGCCTGGGGGGACTCCCGGGCCAGGCTGGGCTCCTGGTCCCCATGAGGGTTTCTGGCCCGGGTTTTGGTTGGAGGGAGAAGAGGGGAACGGGAGGTAGGTTCCTCGGCTGTCATCCTCTCTCCTGTTCCTCAGCTGGGCTGTTCTGGGCGAGTTCCTAGCCCCATGGTAGGCAAACTCCTTAGTCCACAGAGCCAAACATCAACAGGACAATGATTGACATGTCTTCGGAGAGCCACATTTTTAAATCTTAAAACTTCTTCTAACGCCGCTTCTTCAACATAGACGCACCCAGGCCGTGGTGTTTTGTGGAAGAGCCACACTCAGGGGCCAAAGAGCCGTCTGTGGCTCAGAAGCCCGGTTTGCCGACCACGGGCCTAGCCTCCATGGCTTTGTGGGGTCAGGGCGGTGCGGCCTGTCTCCCGGGCGGTGGTGGTGGTGGGGAGTGACCTGTTGGCACCTTGGACACAGTCCGAGCCTGAAGCTTAGTTCAGCCCCATCCGCTGTCCCTGCTCCTTCCCAAAGCTCAGGCCGCTGGCCTGGAGTTTCCAGCCCCCCAAACCCCAGCCCCCCAAACCACCAGCCCCCCAAACCCTCAGCCTCCCAAACCCCAGCCCCCCAAACCCCCAGCCCCCTAGCTGCCCCCTCCTGGGGGACAGGACACGGCCTCTGCCAGGAGCTCAGGGTTTGGGTCTGGGCAGGTGGATTGGACCAGGGACACCCTGCCCCACGCAGACAGGGTGCCCGGCGCAGGCAGACAGGGCGCCCCGCGGACAGACAGGGTGCGCACCGCCCGCAGGACCTGGGTGGCGCGTGGGGCGGACGGGGGCGCGGACAGCGATCCTCAGGGCGGCACGCGGGTCCCCCCGCGGGAGGGGCGGCCGGTCCCCGGAGGCCTGGGCGCGGGGCGGGGAGGGAGGACCGCAGCCGGCTGCTCCCCGACAAAGGGCCCTACGGCCCCGCGCCCCGACCCGCACGCCGGCCTTTGTGTGGCGGCCCCGCTCCTTTGGCTCCCCCCCCCCCCCCCAGGCGGCGCGGACCCGCGGGGAGACACGGGGGGTACCTGGGGGGAGACCGGGGGAGACACGGGGGGACCAGGGGGATCCGGGGCGGGGAGGGAGGTAGCAGCGGGCACCCGCCCCTCCCCGCCCCGCGGCCCCGGAGCCCCCGCCCGCTGTGCGCCCCCCGCCCCGGCCGGTCCGCGGGAGCGAGCGGCGGGCGGCGCCTCTGATTGGCCGCCGCTGCCGGGGCGCCGCGCCCCCATTGGGCGGCGGGCGGGGGCGGGGCGGGCGGCGGGGCGGGGCGGGAGCCGCTCGGGAGCGCGGAGCCCGGGAGGCCCGGCCGGTCCCGCCGCCCCGCCTCCCTCCGGGCCCGCGGCTCCGCGCATCCCCATCCTCGCGCGGCGCCGGCAGCGGCCGATCGGGCCTCCCGGCATGGCCTCCAGCAGCGCCACGGGCTCCGCCCTGCTGCGGCCCCTCAGCGACGCCGTGCGGCTGCCGCTGGACCAGGTACGGCCGGCCCCGCGCCCGCGCCCGCCCCCGCGCCCGCCGCGCCCGCCGCCCTCCGCGCCCCCCGGACCCCGCGCCCGGACCCAGCGCGGCGGGGGGGGCTGCCGGCGGAGGGGCGGCTCCGGGCTTTGTCCCCGGGCCCCCCGCCCCCCGCGCCCCCCGCCGGGCCCGGGCCGGGGCCGCGGGGAGGGGCGCCCTGCGCGCCTGCTGCTCGGCCCGCGCTGCCCCGGCGCCCGGCCCCGGCCCCGGCCCGGGGAGGCGGCCCCGGAGCCCCTGCCGGGCGGGGGCGCGGCGTGGAGGGCGGGCACGGGGTCCCCGGGGGGCGCGGGGGGCGGCCTGGGGAACGGGCCCGTTAGGAGCGCGGCGGCGGCGGGGGCGCAGGGGTCACGGAGAAAAGTCACGGCGAGTTCACCTCCCGGTTCTGGGCCGAAAGTTGCAACCTTGTAGCCACCGCGGCCGCCGCCCCCCTGCCTCCTGCCCCAGGCCCGGGGGTCACGGCCACCCCGTGGGCACGCAGGCTCCCCGAAAGGCAGGCGGGGAGGCGGCGGCCGGGGGGATGGACACGGAGCGGCCCCAGCCCCAGGCGAGAAGCTGGAGCTGTGGCTGGAAGTTGTGTCCAGGGACCTGCTCCCCGAGTGCTGGCGGCTTTCGGGGCGCCGGGCCCCTGTCCTCCTGGGTGTGGGGTGTCAGGGATGGCATTGGGGATCTCATCACAACGCAGGACCCGCTGTCCCCCGGCTCCGCTCATGGCGGGATGGGCCCCCCTGTGCCTGGCAGGGTGACACGGAGGCTTCGTGCGCGTGTGTGTGTGTGTGTGTGTGTGTGAGAGAGAGAGAGTGTGTGAGGGTGTGTGTAATGTGTGTGTGAGTGTGTGTGTGAATGTATGTGTGTGTGAATGTATGTGTGAGTGTGTGTGAATGTATGTGTGTGTGTGTGTGTGACCCTCACCCGAAGACATTTCCCCATTCATTTTCAGGGAGAGCGGAAGAGAGAGGGAAAGAGAGAGAAACCTCAGTCTGAGAGGAACATGTCGATGGGCTGCCTCCTGCACGTGCCCAGGCCAGGCCCAGGCCAGGGCCAGGCCAGGGCCAGGGCCGGGGAGGAGCCTGCAGCCGAGGTGCGTGCCCTTGACCGGAATCTAACCCGGGGCCCTTTGGTCTGCAGGCGGGTGCTCTGGGCTGTGTGTGTGTGTGTGTGCTTGCTTGTTTGCTTTTTAAACACACTCAATGTGTCCGAGCACAAAAAACTCTACCTCAGCTCCAAACCTGAATGCTCTACCTTATCCGTGTCAGTCCTGTCTGAGTGCTCCCATCGGGCCGTAACTTTCGGTTCCCGGTAAGCCACCTGCCCCGCACGCCCTGAGCGGTTACACTGTGGCTGCTGCCAGCTGATCAACGTGCCAGAAGTGAAAGTAATCCTGTGCCCTGACAGCGTGGTCTGTGTGAGCACGCAGGGTTCCGGGAGGAGGCTGCGCCCGGCAAGCAGGCTGCTGCGGGCGTTCGCGGAGGCAGGGCGGGTACCAGGTCAACGCTTTTTGTTTGTTTGTTTGTTTTTTTGCTGACAGGGAGCAAGGTTTGTTCTGGGAGAAAGGCCGCCTCCCTGTCCCCGTGACTGACAGGAGGGGATTTTTCCTTACTCCGCTAACACCTTTACATTTATATGAAGCTTATCTTTGAAAGGCGGTTTAATATTGACGAGGGCCTTTGACCTCTCAGCCACCCGGAGCGAGCGAGTCCTGACAGCGGCGGGGGAGCCGGGAAGGCCGGGGGACTGAGATGCTGACTTTCCTTCGTCATCCACAGCCCCGATGGGGCCCTCCGGACACATGGGGAGCCATTTGTGTAGGGTTTGGAGTGGTGTTTCCTAGGCAAGTGTCTCCTGCCCCCAACAGTAGGTTGTATTGGTTTCCGGGGTGCAGCCTAGTGGTTAGGTAGACACTCATGTACTTTACAAAGTGACCCCCTGCTATTCCAGCACCCACCTGGCTCCACCTACAGTTATTACAATAGAGGCCGGTGCACGAATCTGGGGTCCCTCGGCCTGGCAATCCAGGTCTCACAATCCAGGACCCCTCGGGGGATGTCAGACTGCTGGTTTTGGCCCGATCCCCGCAGGCCAGGCCGAGGGACCCCACCGGTGCACTTACCCATGTACCAGGCCTCTAGAGTATGCATATGAGATCTTTGGTTAATCTCTTCCCACCCTCCCCCTCCCCCTCTTCCCTCTGAGATTTACCAGTCTGTTCCATGTTTCCATGCCTGTTCATCGAGCGTCTGCCCCCTGGTGGTCAGTGTGCGTCATAGCTACTGGCTGACCCGTCGAAGGCTCGCTTAGGCTTTTATATAGATAGGTATTCCCTAGCTATCAAGTGGCACCTCTACACCCCTTCCCCCAGCCCCCCAAGTCCCTCCCCTCTGGCAGCCTTCCCAGGCTGTTTTCTGTGTCCAGGAGTCTTGTTTCTGTTCTGTTTGTTTGTTTTGTTTTTTCAGATTTCACATATAAGGGAAATCCTCATGGGCGTGTGTCTTTCTCTGGCGGACGCATCTCACTTAGCACCACACGCTCTGGTCCCCCCATCCTGTTGCCAATGGCAAGGTTCCGTTCCTTTTGTGGCCGAGCAGCATTCCGTGGGCACAAGCACCACCGCGCGCTCACCCCTCACCTCCTGGTGGGCACAGGGGCTGCTTCCACACCTGGATTACTGGGCGTCAGTGAACACAGGGCCGTGTGTTCCTCGTGGCTGAGTGGGATCACTGGGTCATGAGGCCGTTCCATCCTGACGTTCTGAGGAGGTCACACTGCTTTCCACGGGGCTGCGCCATCTGCACTCCCACCAGCAATGCCGAGGGCTCTCTTTCCTCTGTCCTCCTCCTCGTCAGCCGTTCTGGGAGGCGGCATCTCTTTGCGGTTTTACCTTGCGTTTCTCTGGCGATGAGCGATGCTGAGTATCTTTTCCTGCGTCTCTTGGCATCTGTATGTCCTCTTTGGAGAAGTGTGTATGTAGGTCCTCTGCCCATTTTTTAAATTGCTTATTTTTTTTTTTAAAGCAAGTCTTAATAGTGTTGAATGAATGCCAACAAAGGCCTTAACCTTTTCTACAGCGATAATAAATTGTTGCCAGCACTGAAGAGTTGACTTTAAAAAAAAAAAAAAAAAAGCTCTAGGAATAACTAAAAGCCTTATTGTAACATTGCATGAATAAGTAGTCAGTAGGCCGTTATTTTAAAATGGAGCAGAGTAGAAAGTAACTTTCTGTGATAGGTGAATAACCGGGTCCAGGTTGGAGAAAGCTTAAGAAGTGGTGGTAATCAGACCATGTGATTTAACAGGAAAAGGGGCTAAATCGGGAGACGCGAAGTGTGGAAATAGAACTTGTTAGCACTGTAATTGGGTCTGAACTAATTAACAGAGTTTTGGAAATGCGGGAGATGATAGAGGTGGTGGCTTGGTCTCAGAGAAAGAAAGGACGGTCGGGCCAGAAGACTAGCTTAGCTTTTTCACTGGAGCGTCCGGTGTATGGAATGGTGAGGTTACTGGTCCACCTGGAATACAGGGCGGGGCAAAAGCAGGTCAGCCCTGGTTCACGGTGAAGGAAAACAGCGATTAATTAGTAACAATGCAGGCATAAGCTCCGGGCTCTGCCTGCTCCCAGCTGTCACCTCCCTCTGCCCCGCCCGGGGGAGGAGGACGGAGGGGAAGGAGGAAATCAGTGTTTGATGTTTGATACAAAGGTCAGGGAGGAGAAGGAGCGAGCGAAGGATCGGCGGACCCTGGGTGAGTAATGCTGGGTGTCCTTGGGCAACCATCGGGCGTGCTCAGCCGCCTGGGGTTTAAATAAAGAGCTGTGTCCAGGGAGGCCTCTGACGCTTTGAAATAGGGCGTTTCTGCCCTGACCGGTGTGGCTCAGTGGATAGAGCGTCGGCCTGCGGACTGAAAGGTCCCAGGGTTGATTCCGGTCAAGGGCATGTGCCTTGGATGTGGGCACATCCTCAGTGGGGGGTGTGCAAGAGGCAGCTGATTCATGTTTCTAATTCCCTCTCCCTCTCCCTTCCTCCCTGTAAAAAATCAACAAAATATGTGCTTTTTAAATAAAATAAAATAGGACATTTCTGTCCCGAGGCCTTGCTGTCCCGAGGGCTTTATTTCTAGGGCAGTCAGCACTGGAGGGCGGTGGGTCGGACTGGAGGCCGGTGGGTCAGAGTGGAGGGCGGTGGGTCGGATGGAGGGCGGTGGGTCGGATGGAGGGCGGTGGGTCGGACTGGAGGCCGGTGGGTCGGATGGAGGGCGGTGGGTCGGAGTGGAGGGCGGTGGGTCAGAGTGGAGGGCGGTGGGTCGGACTGGAGGGCGGTGGGTCAGAGTGGAGGGCGGTGGGTCGGATGGAGGGCGGTGGGTCAGATGGAGGGCGGTGGGTTGGATGGAGGGCGGTGGGTTGGATGGAGGGCGGTGGGTTGGATGGAGGGCGGTGGGTCGGATGGAGGCCGGTGGGTCGGAGTGGAGGGCGGTGGGTCGGACTGGAGGGCGGTGGGTCAGAGTGAAGGGCGGTGGGTCGGACTGGAGGCCGGTGGGTCGGACTGGAGGGCGGTGGGTCGGATGGAGGGCGGTGGGTCGGACTGGAGGCCGGTGGGTCGGATGGAGGGCGGTGGGTCAGACTGGAGGGCGGTGGGTCGGACTGGAGGGCGGTGGGTCGGACTGGAGGGCGGTGGGTCGGATGGAGGGCGGTGGGTCGGACTGGAGGGCGGTGGGTCGGACTGGAGGCCGGTGGGTCGGACTGGAGGGCGGTGGGTCAGAGTGGAGGGCGGTGGGTCGGATGGAGGCCGGTGGGTCGGATGGAGGGCGGTGGGTTGGATGGAGGGCGGTGGGTCGGACTGGAGGCCGGTGGGTCAGAGTGGAGGGCGGTGGGTCGGATGGAGGGTGGTGGGTCGGACTGGAGGGCGGTGGGTCGGATGGAGGGTGGTGGGTCGGATGGAGGCCGGTGGGTCGGACTGAAGGGCAGTGGGTCG